GGAATAACACTGCCTCACATGAACTACCCACAATTGCCACTCGTTTTAGGAACACCCGGGGACTGATCCCAAATAAAAGGGAAGGCGGTTTATGGAAAACAGGAATTTGCACACCGTATGCAGAACAGATTCTCTGCAGGAAGGGTAGAGAGATGTACGAAGAAAGAAGCCAAGCAAAAGGCTTAAGGACTACATTACGCTTAATTAGATCACCCAGATCTAAAAACGGGCCACCTCCTTCCACCCTGCTTAAGTACACAGTACTCAGAATAACTCTCAGGCTCAGGGGAAGTAATAAATGGAATAGTTCCCTTAATAGGGAGGCAGTGACGGTGTAGAGAAGGGGAAGGCACTGGGCCGGACTCCTCAAAAAAGACAAGATGGGGAGAGAACAGCAGGAAAAATAAGACCGAACAATGGAGAGACACCCAAGACATGCAAAATATCTCCAACCAAAAACTACAACAGAGAGGAACCCGGTTAGTGACAGACAAGACAGCCAACCACAGACTTTTAAACTTTTTCGTGCAGTAAATCTCCTTAGGATAGACGAAAAAGTCAAAGATTTCCACCCCCACCCCATCTGCTACCTGAGTCCGCTTTAGCCAGACATACCAGGGATAGAACCTGCATGCAAAACAGGAGCGCTTCCCGGGAGCCGCGGCCACTCCCGGGCAGCAAGGAGAATGGGAGTAAGGTGCTTGGATGCTAGTCAATGAGCCGGTGGTGGGACCTCAGACGTCACGTATGTTAGAATAAGGAGGGGCAAAAGAGGCGGATCCTGTGGATTGGACAGGGAGCCCATCTTTCCTAATTGGGGCCCTGCCCATCTGGACTGGACAATCCGTAGTCCTTCAGCGAGAAAACTAGCACTCTGCCCCCAAGTATCTTTAGCCAGAGGAGCCTATCCCAGCCAATGGAAGACAGCGGCGGAGGTAACGTAACAGACCGGTTAGAAGAGTCAGACACTGGGATTCCCGACTGGAGAACTTGACAGGCTCACTTTGTGACACTTGTGCCAATATCTTTCATCTTCAGTCACAGCACCTCTCAGTAAAGAGCAGGTAAATGGTTCAGAACTACCTGGTAATTAGCAACTTAAAAGGGAAATTAGAGAGAAGGGATATACCTTCTGATCCAGGTCAACAGCGTACAGTCCCCACAGTGATCGCTCTGATCAAAATTCAAATTTTTCAGAAATTCTCTTTCAATGCAAATTTAAAATTCAGGGCGAGTGAATCCTGACCCCACTGGCAGACTGCATCAGGAGGGAACAGCAAAAACTCCTGCTCTACGAAGTCTGCTTTGCAAGCAGATCTCGCTGCTCACGATACAACACTGCTCACTCCTGCTCACGATACAACACACACACCCCACACTGTAAGCCACAGGGTTGGGGAGATAAAAATGCACTGCAATTTTTTAATTTTTTTAAAAATACCATTTCTCTTTCACACTGCAGTCCAGCAAAACCTTCTGCTGTTTGGTGCTGAGAGAGAGAGAGAGAGAGAGAGGAGAGAGAGAGAGAGAGAGGAGAGAGAGAGA